TCTCACAAAGCCTTCAGGATCTGTCATCTACCTGGAGTGGGCCCTCTTAATAGGTTTATTACCTTCACAGAGGTCCAGAGTGCCCATGATATCCAGTTCATGAGTGATTAAAGAGTAAAGAAACAGATAATAACTAATCACCCATGAATGATTTTAAATGGATTATCAGTTGGAAAGGGGAGAAAATGTAAAAGAGAAGTGCTACTTCCAAATAATTTATTCTGAGTAGAAAGATAACAAGAGAGAAAAGGATTATGCATCCATATCCTTTAGCACTTTTTTATTACCCATCATTTTTCTAGTATAAATGAAAGATAATGAGTTTTTCTGGTTTGAATGTTGGACTTGGATCAGGGAAAAGCCTATTTAAATCCCTATTCAGTCATGAGGCTCACCAGCCCTTCCACTTTCTCTCAATCTAATCTAGCTAGAAGAATTGCTGGGGTTATAAAATGGTCAGGGAGTATCATGAGTTTCTGCAAAAATACATAGATTTGATTATTATTTACTACAAATATTTTTATCACATAGGTGTATAATCCCAGGAGCCTTATTCTAAACATTCATTAAAATATCTCTGAAAAGTGAATTTTGAGAATTTGAGGTTCCTGTTTCTAATGGAGAGTGTTGCACTGCTGGATCTTTATAACCTAAAATAAATGTTTCATCAGCTAGTTAATAACACACTTGTGCACTCAGATACACACAAATCCAGGCACAAACATATCACATATTGTGCCTAGCATTTGTACAGATATTGGGGTGGGTCACTGTTTCTCTTTACCCTATTATGTTAGAGAATATAGCCTGTGGCTGTTGTGTATTTAGCAAAAGATTTAAGTGGAGAGGAAGGGGAAATTCATTCAAGATATTTCCATATTTCCCAGTTCTTTTATACCACTTGTTAAAGTTATAATCCCTAATAACAAGATTTATAGCTAAAACGTGTGAGAGTTTCAAGTATGGTGATTTATGTTTTAAATTGTAACATTTAGCACTTCATACTTTAATTTAGACAGATCACCTATTTCCTTAAATGCTTAAGTAATGTTCCAAGCTGCAGTTATTGATTCTCTTGCATTTATTACAAGGAGGTCGTATTTGCCCTGTCCTCTTGGGAATGCGGCTCCCGAACTGCATCTTTGCCACTGACAGCTCAGACCTCTGATACATAACCAAAGGCCTTGCCTAATACCCCTGCAACTGTTCAGGGAATTTTTATTAAGTAAAGGCATCATTAAAGTGGACAGAATGATGAAGTTTAATGAGCATCTTTCTCCCTTTTTGTTAGTTTTGCTGTTGCAGCCAGAGTACTCTCATTTGTTACTCTCAGTGGGGCAGGATAGAGAATACAACAAGCTTTTTTAGCAAATTGGGTATCTTTTTAAAATACATACTGTATATATAAATATTTGCATATCTCATCTGATAGCAAACTTCTCAGCAAATATGTGTTTATAACTACCTATATAACCAAGAAAAAAACCATGATATAAATATATAAAATATATATTTATATATAAATATTTAACATATATTTTTACAAATAAACATCTTTAAGATTATACTAAGATGATTATTTGTAAAAATATCTTTTCAGATTCATATTAAAATCTGGAAAACAATGTACCCTTTTCCTTAATAAGAAAGCTGCATCTCACATCTGACTATAGTAGTTTAAAAAGATTCTGCCATTTATTGATGCAATTACAGCACCAATATTTTTTTTTTAGTTTCTTATGTGAGAAACTTATAGGTGGATCCTAGTTCCACAGACAATTCCTGCTCCAAACAATTTGGAAATAATATACTTGAAAAGCATTTTGAATTTGTTTTGGATCACAAGCTTAATATGAATCAGCACTATGATAAGACTGCTGGAAAGGCAAATGCAGTTTTAGACTGCATCAATAGATGTATGATTTCTAAAGCTATACAATATTCCATAAAAATCTTTCAAAGATTTTATAGCAGTTTCCATGAATGTTCACTTTCCTTGTGGATACATAAAACACTGGTAGCAGTTTTTCTGCATAAATGTGTATGTACAGCCACTTTCCAAGTGGAAGCAGATACCTGCAATCAACCAAGAATACTTTGCACTTGAGTTTGTAAAATGACAGGGCTGCTTTAATAATTCAAAAAGGTTTGCTTTGTATTCATTACTATCATTCCAAAGCACCTGTTTTGAAGGATTTGCACAGCTCTAATAATTTCTGATTCATTGGGAGTAAAAGTTCCACTATATTCTGCATACAATTTTATTAGACGTTACTATGTATAGTTCTGGGCACCAAACTGTAAGATTCAAAAAAAGAACAGATGTAGAGAAGAGTCACAAATATTAGATTTATAAAGTCGGAAAGGCATTAGAGATCATCTCATTCAACTCCCTGTTCAATGCAAGATTCACTAAGCACCCTAAAAGATGGCCACCCAACCTCAGTGAATAAGAGCTGGTGACTTCATTTCTCAGCCTGTTCTATTGTCTGATAGCTTAGATGTATTTCCTGAACAGTTTCCTTCTAGTTTTAATCTTGAACTTTTGATCTTGCCCTCTAAGGAATGAATCCACAAAGAATGAATTCAGATGAACAGATTCTAAGTCTTACAAAGAAATGCTGAGGGACCTGCCTATTTTGTAGCTTTCAGAAGAAAGGATAAAGCAGAGATATGCTAGCATCTTTCAAGGATCTGAGGAGATATCACATAAAAAATTACCATGCATAATATGAACAATAAAGTTAAAGGAAAGCAGATTCTGGTTAAGTTGTCAAAAATTTCTTATGAGTAGAAATTCAGTTGGACAGTTGCCAACAGAGGTAGTGAGCTCCCATTCCTACTGTGTTCAATAAAAGCTGATTTATTCCAGTTCTGTGCTTCTATACTGTAAAGAGCTATTATATTATTAGTGCAATGTAGTTAATGCACCCATGCACTATAAACAATTAATTTGGCATTATTCTGTCATGTCATTGCAAAGGGTGTTATTTTTATTATTGCAGCCATGTTATTGTCAGTATTCAAGAAACTTCTTTTTCAAGCAAATTCACTGAAAGAAAGCTATATTTTATATTCTGAAATTTACAGATAGATCTGGTCTAGAGAGTTCCTTTGTTAAATTATTAACACGTCTTTTTTCAATTTTGTGACACACAGTCATAGAATTGAAGCTTGGCACAGAAATTAGCACGGTAAGAACTGAACTTGTATATGTTGTGTCTTAGAACCATTGAGGATCATATATAGGTAATCCTCACTTTAACAACCATTCGTTTAACAACTGTTTAAGTTACAATACTTAATACCTTAAATGATATACTTAACAATCACAGAAAAAGGTCATAAAATATGGGGTGACTCATTTAAGAACTGACAATGGAAATTTGGTTCACAACTTGGCCTTAAGTTGAGGTTTACCTGGATAGAGGGAGGGAGGGAGGGAGGGAGGGAGGGAGAGAGAGAGAGAGAGAGAGAGAGAGAGAGAGAGAGAGAGAGAGAGAGAGAGAGAGAGAGAGAGAAACACACACACATATATATATACACTTGGTGGTGCAGGGATGAGAATGCAGTATTGCAGGCAAACTTGGCCCACAGCCTGGAATTTGATCCTAACAGACTTGAAGTTGACTCAGCCTTCCATTCTTCCAAGATTGGTAAAATATAAACAATATTTTATATTGTTGGCAGGAGCCACAACATAGCCAGAGAAAGACAGATTGGAAAAGGTATTGGCATATCCTCAGTGATGGGATTCAAATATGTGAACAACTGGTTCTCTGTGAGGATGGCGCTTCCGGAAGTCCGTTCTGGGCCTGGGCAACAAAAAATTAGCTACCGGTTCTGCCAAAGTGGTGCACTGGATATCTTCCTTTTGCAAGTTCAGTGCAATTTTTAAACCTGCACTCCATCTTCCAACTTACATAATGAGCAGTTTCTTTTAACTTTTTCTTAAGTGATATGCAAATGAGGGTAGTGTTCAACAAGATAGAGACCACTCTTTAGGGAAGGAATTACCAGAATAGGCCCTTCCTGTTTCCTTAAACAAGTTTAATAAAAATCTACTAAACTAATTGAATGAAACACACATGTTGTATGTATAAATCTATCTTATTAAGGTTTTCCAATATTTGTCCTCTCTGATTGGTGGCCACAGTCTCAATACTGTAGAAACATTTGTTTTGAAGGTTGAATATGCTGAGCTTGGTGGCATATGTATGATATAAAACAGATACCAGATTTTGCTTGCTTTTATTATCATATTTTATTATTAGCATGGCTCTTCTCCAAATAAGAAAGTTTAGAGAACCTTTTCTCTCTTGACACCTCAAACAACCTCTAAAAGACACTTTGTCAACAGAGCAAGTCTTACATTTGCATCCTGTTTGTTTTGAAGGCTTTTAATTTTAGTTTAAGTTAAGAATTACTCATAAATTATCCATTAATTGCTCTCTGGTGTTTAGTGTAAATCCTTTCAGCCTTAGAGTCTATTTAGCTTTCTTGTGAGTGCCAGCGATCTTAATTGCAGGATACTTCGTCAACATTTAATCAGGGGTCTGTATTAATGTGGCATTGATGTGTTGGTAGCTCTTTTCCAGCAATCCATCATGTGTGAGAAGCTGGCACTATTGCTTGGTGTCACTTTATCAAGCCCTTGAGTATTCCAGTTAGACTGCAAGCTCACTTTTCTTGATATCGCCATTCTGTCTTATTAGTTCAATCCAATTTTTGTCAGTGTCTCCAAATCTTTAAGAATCTAACAAGTTTTTCTTATTTTGCCTTCCCTGTTGTTTTTCTGTCCCCTTTTTCCTTCCAACTCTGATGCAAAATAATAATAATAATAATAATCAAGATTTGAACGTCATAGGGAATTTCAAAACTTGCTGAACTGTTTTTCATAAAATTACATTCTTGTATTAAACAAAATGTTTTACATGCTGTGTTGAAAGCCCTGAGTTAGTCATAGGGCTAACAGTGTTCTTTATGTAATCTCTTTGCAGCCTTTACGGAAGACACATGCAGGCAAACCCTGAACCTCCAAAAAAGAACAACGATAAGTCCAAAAAGATCAGCCGTAAACCATTAGCAGCCAAGAATAAATAAAGCACCAGCATATACCATCCTTATTACATTCTTTCTTTTGCATGTGCCTAAATTTTTATGTTCTTATCATAGGAAACTGTTGTTTTATAAAGAAAAGAAATAAATACCTTTTTATATCCAGAGGCACAAGAAAAGTGCAAATTGTCTAAGATAGTTAATCCATTGTTAGATTTATTAACCATCAATTGCTTAAGTTATACAGCCATTTTATTTACCAAAAAGAATGTAATCTATTCTAAATACATATGTAAAATGTTTCTTTTAAAAAAATAACTAGTTCCCACAATTGGCTACATGTTATTGCTGCATCACACCATGTATCATTTATATTTTATGTTATCTGTTATTAATAAATACAGCTTTAAAAAACATTTTTGGAAGGACCTGTGATTTTTACTAAGTCTGTTACCCAATCTAAAGCACCTCTAGAACTATCAGTAGTTGTCCCCAGGTAGATTTCAGGTAGATGAGTTATCCCTAATTACTATTTTGGACTTTTTTTATTAAGTGGATTGCCTTATCTTAATGTAGGATGTTTGTTGGACTCCAGCTCTTGTGAATATTTGTGAGCACAACTAATGGAATCTATGAGTCGGAATCCAACAATAGGCAATCGGTAACTTCTCCATTCATGTTTTGCCTGGAGAATCCAGACCCCTTTTGCCTATAGAACAGAATGATCTAATATCTGTTTACTGCCATTAAATTTCATTGGTTTGGTTTCAGATCTTTTGGCTCTACTCTTGCATTGAAAACGCAATCTCAATCTCCTATGCAAAAGCCAACTTCTTTTTTCCCACTCTTTCCCTATAGGAAAAGACACTTATGAACACTGTGGAATGTCCAGGCAGATCCCCAGGAGTCCTTTTTACATGGCAAAGAGAATGAACATAGGTCCAATCTTACATGCCCTTTCTATATTTTCTGTTCCAACATATCAGTGGGGGGAAAAAAACACTGCCTTCATTTTTAGTGATACAAGCGTATTTTCTAAGTCAGTTACAATATAGAGCAAGGTATCTAACCTTGGTGATTTTAAGACCTATGGACTATCCTAGCTGGAGAAATCTGGTAGTTGAAGCCCATAGGACTTAACGCTACCAAGGTTGGCACCCCTGACATAGAACTTTTGGTGTTAGAAATTATTTCAGCTTTCTTTTTTTTAATTGATAACGTTATTCCTATCTGCACGGTTCAGTCTTTGCCATCTCCCAGTTCCTCCTTTCTAAAGGAAGAAAGCAGAAAGCTGTCTTAGAAGTAGATTTCCAACTGCAATTTCTGGAAAAAACTTTCTCATTTGAAGAGTTCCTGTCAATATCTGATGTTTCTTTAATGTAGCAAAATAAGAGAGGATTCTAATAGTACTTCCTTTCCCTTGGGGGACAGCAGGGGAAGGGAGTTTGAAGGTTTCCGCTAAATTTGTTGCCAAAGGAAGTATCTGTAGTTACTTAAAGCCTATACTGTTTCCAAACTTAATAACCGTAGTTGATTAAACAGCCTCCTCCTTCCTACCTTTAATGATCAAGAAAATATGAAAGTACAGTGTTTCCAATTCATAGCACTATAACAGCTAAAACAAGTGGTGGCTGAATGCATTCATAAAGCGAATACATTAATGTGAATTCCCCCCCCCCATGCTTTCTTGTTCCTTCTTCTAGCTAAACATTTGTGCATGTCCTATGGCAGGCAGCACCAGTAACAAACCCAATTCTGGTCTGATGCAACTCCCGGTCAGAAGAGTGCATATAGATGTGCATAGTGCTATTGTTAGCAGAAAAACAAAACACAAATAATTTGATTCTTTACTCTGAAAAAAATGATGAATTTAGATGAGGGAGAGGTAAAAAACAGACTTGAAGCACCTTGGAGTTAGCCAAGTTAATTACAATGAAAATATACATGACCATTTGTTTAAAAATCACTAGACTAAATCAGCAACTACTTCTTGGAAATCCTAAGCACTCTTACAAACTATTAACAGGGCATACTTAAAAGGTTAAAAGAGAAAAGGCTTCTGATTTACAAGAAGAAACGTAGACTGGTAATTAAGGAAAAGTAATTTTTACGTATTTCTTCCATTAGATGTGAAGTGTGTGATTCCCATTTGTGCTAATGGGCAGGAGAGAAAAGAGGATAATTTCCCAAGAACTCCACAGTTCAATAGGCTAGTATGCAAAGGCAAGTATGGTCCTTTCTGGGCAGAGTGTACAGTAGAGCAGAATCAAACACTTTGCCTTTATTATTTACTTAATATATTGCTGTTTGTTTAGAAAATCCCAAAATGATATACTATCATTACAGAAACTTAAAATTGAATTTAAGATAAGCCAGAAACTAATAGTTAAAACAATCCTCCCAAAAATACATGTTAGATGTAAATGGCTGGTGGAAATTATGAAAATGTTCTTAAGCGCTATCAGGTTTGGGACCTGGCATATTACACAGGAAGGCTACTTCAGAAAAAACTCCATATAGAGATGTTTTAAAAAGGTAAATAAATAAAGTATCTAGCTGCATGACATCCTGCAAACCATGACAGCATATAGGACCCTTCATCATTGTTTAGATCATCTGAGCCTGAGTTAAGATTGTACGTTTCAATACTTTACTTTGACTCTCTCTCAATATCTCACGTTGATCTACCATCTTTTTGGATATGACACACAAATCCCTAGATTCATCTCACAGCTGAAGGATAACCAGAAGATGAGCAGATGCTCTCCAGGCAAGGGGCCCTGAGTTCCTTGTAAGCAGAATGTGCTACCTAAGATTTGGGATGATGACGGCCCACTTACAGGCAGTGGGAATCCCCCAAGGATTGGCAGAGGGGTTTATGACCCTTCTCTATGCTGATCATGGCTAATTGATGAAGATATGCTGCATTTCTAGGTCCCATTGGGAAACCATTGCTGCAGGAAGAGAGAAGGAAGAAAGAAACTGAGCTAAGATCAAAGCAGAAGCAAAGCTTGGAAAAGTGAGCACCTCAGCTTTAACTATCCTGGATCATCTGCAATCTGTCTTTTTAATATTGCTGTGAGCTCTTTTGACTTTAAGTTTTAATATAATATTAGCTGCCTTGAGTTTTTTCCCGTATGTATGTATGTATGTATGTATGTATGTGTTACTGGGAAGTTTTAAAAGAGCCGAGGTGGCACAGCAGTTAGAGTGCAGTACTGCAGGCCACTTTAGCTGACTGTGTTCAGCAGGTCAGCGGTTCGAATCTCACCGGCTCAAGGTTGACTCAGCCTTCCATCCTTCCGGGGTAGGTAAAATGAGGACCCAGATTGTTGGGGGCAATGTAAATATATATATATACATTGCTTACTGGTGTACACCGCTTAGAGAGTGCTTGCACTTAAAGCGGTATATAAGTCTCATAAATAAATAAATAAATAAATAAATAAATAAAGTTAGGTTACATCGGCCAAAGTTTGTGGATAAGGTTTGGAAAACAGAACTTTTCTATCATCCAGACAACCGGCAGCCCGCATGTGGGACCTTCTAAACTCTTTTTATTGCAAACTTCAGCCAAAAAAACCCCGCAAACTGAAAAGAGAATATGGGATGCAATTGTCATTTAAGCCTCCATGATGGGTGCTTTTAAAATTAGTATAGCAGAATTTAAAAATATTTTAAATAAATATTTAATATTATGTTTCCTAAAAAGAAAAAGAACTGTTGCTTACTCATATTGAAAATACAGAAAAGTCTGATACTTCGGCCCAGCTTTCTCCTGGTGTCAGTCTCTCTGTCCTTTCTTGTGCCCTCTGCTGGCCAACGCTTTTTAAAAAATTAATGCAATTTGCAGTCACAAAATATTGCCTGCCTTTTCCTTAATTCCTGGACATTAGTTTTTTTTTAAAGACTTTTATTTACTGTTCATTAAGAGGACTGCAGCTATTTAATATGTAGCTCATGAATCTGGTGCTCAATAGTAATCTATTTTGAATGTGGACACAAAAATCAAATCTTTGACTTAACACTGGAGCCTTTACAACAACATAATTGTCAGGAGGTCTATATTTTATGCATTATTAGAATGGGAAGTTGGGGAGACATCCAAAATGTAATATTTATCCTTCATTTGCCCTGGGTATATTTTTGCTAGTTGGAACAGAAAGTAAAATAGCCAATATGAAACCTTGTATGATTTTGTCCTTTAAATTCCATTGCACAACATATCAATAACAGCCAAGAATTCACCTGAAGCACAAAGGTAGGTCCTGGGGAAATCAGCAAGAATTTATTTATTTTTTCTTTGGTCGTGTGTATATCCATTCAAAATAATATCAGAAGCAGCTACATAACAAATATCTTTGAGGAAAGTGTCTAAAATATTATAAAACCCTTTTATAAACTCTTACAACATTCTACTGTGAATGATATAACAAATGAGTCAACAGAACACACTAAGCTAAAATAAATCTGGTTAATGACATCTCATATATGTGTGTGTGTGTGTGTGTGTGTGTGTGTGTGTGTGTGTGTATGTAGGTCTTTGGTTGTTCGGGTTTTCTCCCGCGTAAAATTGGAAGTGTCTTGGCGACGTTTCGACGAAGTCCCATTCGTCATCTTCAGGCTGGTGTTTTCAGCTTCGTGCTTCGAGCAGCAATGTGTGGTCTTAGCTGTTTCTTCCTTTTAACTGCCAGTGGGGGTATGAACTGATTGGGTGGGAGCTTGGCTGTGTTCTGATTGGGTGGAGGTGTGTTCTGAATGGTTAGGGGCTTGGCTGTGCTCTGATTGGCTGGGGGAGTGTTCTGTTTGGTTGTGCTCAGGTTAGTCTGAGTTGCAGAGGGGTTTAAGATTTTGGGCTGCCTTGCTATTTTTTGGCTTCGCGTTCGTGGTTGTGTCTCCTCTTCATGGAGGGTGTCAGTTTGCTTCATGTATGGATTGGAGGGGTTTAAAGTGGCTAATGATGCAGCTGTGGTCTGGCTT